GGGGGAGAGGCCTGGTGGGAGGTGATTGAATCATGGGGGCAGATTTTTTCCTTGCTTTTCTCATGATAGTAAGTTCTTGTGAGACCTGGGTTTTTAAAAAGTATGTGGCACCTTTCCTCTCTCTTTCTCCTGCTCTGGCCTTGTAAGAACTGACTCCTTCCTCTTTGTCTTCCACCATGATTGCATGTTTCCTGAGACCTCGCCAGCCATGCTTCCTGTACAGACTGTGAGCAAAATAAGTGTTATTACCTTAAGCTACTGTTTTGTGATGTTTTGGACACAATGAAACATGATTGAAACAGGTTCTGTGATCTCAAAACGAGATGCTGCTATAACGAAACCTAAAACATGGGTATTGCTTCTGGGGCTGGTTTGTGGGCAGAAGTTGAAAGGAGCTGAAAGAGACTTTTAGTGGAAGCTTGGTAGCTACTGGTAGATTGTTACTGAAAACTGAAGAAAAGGATCCTTGTTATGTAGTGGCAGAAAGTTTAGCAAGATTGTCACCTACAGTAACATGGAAATACAAAACATAACTAACAAACTGATAGATTTGTCTAAGAAAAATTCCAACCAGGATGTTGAAAATGCCAGGGAGTTTCTCTTAGTCATATATAATAAGTATGTAGGGAGAATGAATTTTAAAAAGAGGAACTGTTACATTTTCAAGAAAATTTTAAGATAATCTATTAAAGATCCAGGATGTTACATTCAAATATAAAACTATTTCTCTTTCTCAGCCTCTCCATAGAGGAGAGGATTCTCAAATTAAGAAAAGGTATCAGCTCAAAAATCAAACTCAAAATCCAAAGACATTTTGTTTGTACCTTAGAAAGATGTAAGGTAATGTCTCATAAGCCCTTTGAAACCACGTTCCTCTAAGGATCTAAGCATATGCTAGGCAGATTCTCTCAGTTAAACAGTAAGATTTCTAATAATCCTAAGATTATGTGGTCCCATCACAGCCTTACGGGGATCTCAGGTAGAGAATGGCTTATGTCAAAAAGGTTTTTCTCTAATGGAGTATACTCCAATAAGAATCACAGGAAGTCCCAGAATTTTAAACGGAATTGTACAAACATATTTTGCCAGCTTGAACTAAAAGGAACAGAGAGAGTATTAAATGAAAAGACATCCAAGAACGAGGAACCTGGAGGGAAGACCCAAGAGAAGTAGGGAACCCTTTCCAGGCAGTAGGACTGAGACCCAAAAAAAGAGCTTGCAGTGTTTGCTGTCTGGATAGCAGAGTTGCTATGAACCAAGGACTATTATGTGCTCTTCTTTTCCTCTGTTTTAAACAGGAGTGTCTATTGTGTCTGTCCTACGTATATTTCACCATTGAATATTGGGTATGTAGGTGGCAAAAACGTGTCTCTTAGTTTATAAGTCTTCATATTGAGAGAATCATTACATAAGAAACATCACTTAAGAGACTTCATCCGTACCTGCATCTGAGTCTTCTAAGGAGAGAATATAGGAGTGCATTTTGCATGTATATATAAGTACTTTGTGGCCAGTAAGTGGGCTTCAGAATTTTAAAACATGTCCACAATTTTTAAAAACACTTTTCTTATTACAGATGAAGTCTAATTCCTATCCTCTTAAATATGGGGCAACCTTAATAACTCACTTTTAGAAAATAGAATGGGATGGAAATGATGCTACGTTAATTCCCAGGCTGGGTCTTACAAGATAATACAGCTTCATCCTGGCTCTCTCTTGAAATGCTCATGCTTGCACCACAGCTGCCTTGCTGTGAGGAGGCTCAGGCCACATGGAACCTCCTGGGGACCCCATCGCTCAGCCCCAGCAGAGCTCCCAGTCGAGAGCCAGCACCAACTTGGCAGGCATGTGAGTGGGCCATTCTGGAAGTGGACATGCCAGTCCGTCAAGCCTCCCCACAACTGATACCACATACGGCAGAGAAAAGTCTTCCCAGGCAAGCCCTCCCCAAATTTCAGATTTGGTTGCAAAATGAATGTTGTCACTTTAAGCCATCAAATTTGGGGTAATTTGATACATATCAGTAGTAACAGGAATAAATTCCCTATATATAATATAATACATATAGGGAAATTTATATAAATTATAAATATAAATCTTATAAATTTTTGTATATTGTACATATTTATATATAATATATTTTTATGTATAATATAGAATATATTTATATAAAATATAAATTTATACATAATAAATATTATATATTATATATATATAAAATCTCAACTCCATTCTTACAATGCCAATCTGTAGATAAACATTTGATGACAATGAATAAAAATACAGAGAACTGAAATGTAGTTGGCATTTCTTGATGAATTAATATAGGCGAGCACTTATTCTATGTGCTTGATATGTATTTGCCCACTTTATTCTTACAACTCTCCGAGGAAAATACTTTTATTATCCTCATTTAATTATAAGAAAATGGAGGCCTGGAGAGGTTAGGTAACTTGGCTAGGACCATATAGCCCCAGTGCTCAAGCCAGAAGAACAGACATTCTTATCCAAGAGTCTATGGTCATTATTCTTCATGCTTCTTATAACTGGCATCTTCTAATTTTAACTAATCCACTTATCATTAACACCAGACAGCTCTTTGCTTCCATAACTCCAGCCTTGATCCTCAGTTGACAGAGCTTCTCATTTCTACTCAGCAGATCACAGTATAAATTTTGACCATAAATATAAGATTTTCTCAGATCAAAGATCAGAGAACTATGGCCCATAAACCACCTGCCACCTGCTTTTGTAAATAAGGAGCTTTTAAAATCCCGTAAAACAGCCACATTGGTTAGTTTGCATTTTGCTTATGGCTCTTTTACACTACATGGTGATTTCAACAGTTGTGATAGAGACCCTAGGGCCCACAAAGCCTAAAATATTACTATTTGGTCCTTTGTAGAACAAGTTTGCTGACCCCTGACTTAGATCACTGAAGATCCCTTTATGCTGAATTCGTGATATATTATTATACAACGGGTGTATCTAAATGACAGTTGTAGACAGACCTGGACTAAAATCCAGCTCTGTTACCTAACTGTGATCTCAGGAGAATCTCTTAATATCTCTCAATCTTAATATTTGCTTTCAAAAAGAGAATATTAAGACCTCTGTCCTAGTTGATACATGCTAAGATATTGACACATAAACAAAATATTATTAATTTGTCAAAAATTTGCCAATCTTTTGTGATTAGGTCAAAATTTAGGGGATCATATAATTAGAGGCCACAAAATAAAAGATGCTTAATAATAAAAACCATCTGTAACTGTTGGGGCATGTGAAGAGAAAACAGAGGCATGAACTTCTTTTAGGTGCCAGGCAGAGGTGAGAATTGGTCAGTGAAACTCTGGACGATGGAGGTGAAAGTCCAGGTTGTGAATTTCTTTCTATAGTCTGGATTATACAAGAAAAATCCTGCAGGCAGAGATGGTTTCATAGTAAACAGTTTTCTAAAATCCATTTCTGATTGATTAAATGTCAAGATTTGAAGAAAGAACTTCTGGTTGCTTATTGAGCTAAATGAATAATCCTATTTTTTCCACTATGAGTAAATACATTTCTTTGAGAATATGAGTAAATTTAGAATCCCAAAGGTAGAGTGATTTGACCTGATTAGAAGTTGTTTTTTGTTTGTTTGTTTGTTTGTTTGTTTTTTCCATTTCTGCAAATAGTCCGGGCAACTGTCAGCAAGTTATTTTATCATTCCAACCAAAATGGTTTAATATTTGGGGAGCTGGATTTTTTTAAAGTTGATTTAAGTAGCTGAAATGATCCATTGTTTTCAGGTCTTTGGAGAGGTGAACAGTCACATTCTAGTTTCTTGGGAGAATGAGGAGAACTGTTTTAGAAGGGAGATTTTCAGGGCAGTTAGTCTTTTCTGTCATTGTTGCTGGGAGATCTGTCCTTGGTTCGACAGTAATGGAATCTGAGTTCCTCTCAGCTCCCAGGTGAGGCAGGTCATCTGTGCAGATATTCTTGTATATCTGCTAAGTGGGGGGTGAACCGGAAGTGTGGGAAAGCCTTTGCTCTGATAAAGGAGTGGTGGGCCTGTCATGCACACAGGGTGTAAGATGAGCAAGGAGATGGATGCTGGGGCCTGATGAGGCAGGTGACGTGGGAAGCAGCTGAAACCCCCTGGAACTGCTGCTCAGATTCTCATTTCCTTCACTTGAGGTTTTTTTTCTTTCCCTATTTTCACTTGTCACACACATAAAGGGCAGCGAAATACCAACCTGACCCAATGAAAGGCCTGGAGACATGAAACTGTAAAAGAAGATAATGATTAGAAACATGTGGAGGTGACTGGAGCCCCTTGATAATTGTGCTTCACTTTCCTGTTTAATCTTTTAACTAGAAAAAGGCATTCATTTAATAGACATGTTCTGCTTAAAGGGAGGAAAGAAGGAAAGAAAGAAAAAGAGAGACAAAGAAAGAAAGAGAAAGAAAGAAAGAGTGAGAAAGAAAGAAAGGGAGGGAGGGAGGGAAGGAATGAAAGGAAGGAAGGAAGAAAAAGAGGGAGAGAAAATAAGTTTGTTTCAAATCATATAGGCACATTTTTATATTGTATCATACCAATTTAGCAGTTCCTTAAAGAAATCACAGAATCTAAAAGTGGAAATTTCCTTGGAGGTCACTTTGTCCAGATTTGTACTCATGCAGACCTCTTTTATGTAACTACCTCGGTAGGTTCACCAATTCATTCCACAATCTTTCTTGAGCATGATCACTAGGTATTGATCTAGGCACAGGGCTGAACAAAAGAAATGAACATTTTTGCCTTCACGGAGACCTGCTTATATTCCAGAGCCTATGCTTGATCGTTTCCAGTTATTGAGAGCTGTCAGTTTAGACGGGAGTGAATCAGTTCTTAAGTGTTTAATTGAACAGACTATATTGGAGCAGCATTTTAAGCACTTTACAAATACGATATTAACTCATTAAATGCTCACAGTAAGCCTATAAAGTAGACACTACTGTCATGATACCTCTTCTACAGACGAACAAATTGAAGCATGGAGAACTTAAGGAATGCCTTAAGACTACCACTGGTAAGCAACAGGGGTGAAATTAGAACCCCACAGTGAGGATATGGAATGAGGACATGGAGTGCAGGTTTCTGGGTAAAAGTCTGCTCTCTTAACCACTAGGCTACACTGCCAGCATCTATCTAGCTTATGTTCACGATTTGGTTCTATTTCTCCAGGTATTGGCATTTCTTACCCTAAAATGATCCCAAGATCTCTTAGGTAGTCAATAAATGATAGATCTTGCTGTTAATACATTTTTGGCTCATGATTTGCAAAATTTTTCAGTTTAGCTTTCTTCCTCCAGTTTAAGCCTTTAGGATAAGAGGCCAATGAGGCATTATTGGACACATTTTCAAAGTTTTTCCTGAAAGAAAATTTTAATAAATGAGAGAGAACTTCACGAGGCTGATGGGAGAGTCATTTTCATTATCAACCATGGAAATGGGGGATGGGAGAGGATGCAGAATCCGGGAACCCAGAAAGGCTCACTCATGTGGGAACATCTTAATGGCTGCCTTCTGTGGCCAATTAACCAATTTCTCCCCACAGCATAGGAAATTAAACAGCTCTGTCCAGGTAGCTTTCTTGCCTTGGGTCCAGAAAAAAAAAAATCCTCCTTTATGTCATTTCGTCATGGAATAAGAAGTGAGAATGAATTAGTGAAAAGTTTGAGCAGAGCAACAATACTTTTTATGGTTTTCTGAGTCAACTCAGGGTTAAGTTTAATCCTTTGCTTGAAAGGAATTTAAAGAATGTCAGGTATCTTCTCATTTCAAATGAAATAGTCCCAAAATACCTTTTACCATCAAATTCCAATGATTTCTGGATTATCTCTTATGGTTCCTCTTCCTATCTTGAATGAAATTAATCTAGTCCACTTTTTTTTACACCTGGTTTCATGAACCTCAGCCAAAATGACTTCCTTTTTCTTAGCTAATCCTCCTACCTGCAAATTTGGCTGATGAAAGCATAATTTTTCTTGCTTTCCCAATTCTGCTTCTCTCACTCCAAATCAGAAGCTCTGCTCTACATAGAATTACCCTCCTCTTCGGTTCATGCAAAGCCTACCTTTAAATATGTCTTCTCTTGCATGAAATTCCCCAGACATGCTTCTAAACATAGTTTGCCGCTGCTCCTCTGTGTTCCCCACTCCAGTCCTGCCCAGAGGGCCATTACCCAAACTAGAAAACCAATGGACTGGGTGAATATTTCCATGCAGAGGGGTGGTAATAGCTGTTGGAAAACAACCCATCTTTTTTGTTTTGTTTTGTTTTTTTTGAGATGGAGTCTTGCTCTGTTGCCCAGACTGGAGTGCAGTGGCATGATCTCAGCTCACTACAACCTCTGCCTCCCAGGTTCAAGCAATTCTCCTGCCTCAGCCTCCTAAGTAGCTGGGACTACAGGTGCCCATGACCACACTCGGCTAATTTTTGTATCTTTAGCAAAGACTGGGTTTCACCATGTAGGCCAGGCTGATCTCAAACTCCGGACCTCAGGTGATCCACCCATCTTGGCCTCCAAAAGTGCTGGGATTACAGGTGTGAGCCACCACACCTGGTAGTAAATCAGTCTTTGTATAATAGCCAAGATGTAGGTATACAGAAAGCAAAAAACAACAGCTACTTAGTGAGGGTATTCCAAAGGTTGTTTTTGTGAGCTTGTGAAAGAGGGTGTCCTTTAAGAATTTTTTACACTACACAGTACTTATTTTTTCTAACAAAATTTTTAGGGTACCATATGCATCTGCCAGAAAGGCTTTTAAAATTAATCAGTTTTGGATCCCTTGACACCCATTCAGGAAACATTTTTTTCCAAGATAAGAAAAGTTGGCAAAAATAATTTGAGACATTTTCCAAGATCACTCAAAGAATTTGGCTTAGAGTCTGAGTCCCTGGGACCAAGCAAAAATATTGACAAGTCAGGTGGGTTTCTATTTCATCCTGGCTGGATATTTTTAAGTGCTTGCTGCTTGTTAAAAGAAGAAGAAGAAGAAGAAGGAGGAGGAGGAGGAGGAGGAGGAGGAGGAGGAGGAGGAGGAGGAGGAGGAAGAAGAGAAGAAGAAGAAGAAGAAGGAGAGGGAGAGGGAGAGGGAGAGGGAGAGGGAGGGAGAGGGAGAGGGAGAGGGAGAGGGAGAGGGAGAGGGAGAGGGAGGGAGAGGGAGAGGGAGAGGGAGAGGGAGAGGGAGAGGGAGAGGGGGGAGGAGGAGGAGGAGGAGGAGGAGAGGAAGAAAAGAAGAAGAAGAAGAGAAGAAGAAAGGAAGTAATGCATCTCATTTATTAACATTTGCTTTCAGGAATAAATGCATCTTTCAGAGAAGAAATGCATCGTAGGTCATTAACTTTAAAAAAAAAAGAAAGAAAGAAAGAAAGAAAAAGAAAAAGAATATTTCTTCTTTTGAATTTTTCCCAAAAGCTTTGAATGGATTTCTGTTGCATTATTGGTTGAGTATATTCTTGTCAGGATAATCCACTTTTAGTGGCTTCATTTACATTAGCTATCACTCCAGAGGGCCATAGTAACAGGCTGTTGAATTACCCAAGAGAAATTACTCTTGAAAGTAATCATTGTGAATGAATTTTCATCACTTGGTCTCATCATTTCATGCTGTTTTGTCTTTTTCCTTTTTGCCCCTCATAAAAGATGGGCATAAAGAGGGCTTTTTTTATGATCTCATTTTCTTTAAAAACGTACTCTTATTAATCATAGCAGCCAGTTAATGGAGGCAATCGAAGCATCTCTCTCTCTCTCTCTCTCTCTCTCTCTCTCTCTCTCTCACACACACACACACACACACAGACACACACACACACATACATACATACACACAGTTTTTGAAATGCATTTCAATTTGTGGGGAGCATAAAGATTAATTTACTTTATTCTGTAATATCTCACACAAATTTGGTTTTCATGTAACCTCATTGGTCCAAGGTATATATTTAAATACAGAGGCTTAAATACTGTCCTGAACACTTGAACACTATTGTATTGAATTTGTTTTACATTACCAACTCATGCATAAAAGTTGAAATTTAAAACTCTTGGACAAAAACCTGGAATAAATAATAAGTTTTTAACTTACCTTACCTGTCCATAATGTATACTTGGCTTTATGAAAGTGACATATTGCTCACACATCAATTCAAAGTAGGAGAATATAGAAGTGTACAATAATATCTTAAGAGGTAATTTCCTAAATCGTATTCTGCTGTTTTGAGAAAATAGATAAATAATCAGATTATTTATTTCAGAGTATAGTCTCTAGATAACACCCAATTACTAAGTTTAAACAATAGCGCAAAGGCTGGTAGCAGAATTGTCTGAGGCAGATCTGTGAATAGAGAAATGAAAGGAGCATTTATTGAACATCCTCAAAACAAGTCTGCGAGGTGATAATTATAGTCCCTATTTTACAGATGGGGAAACTGAGGCACATATAGATTGAGTTCCTTGCTTATGAGTCATGCAGCTAGTAAGTAAAAGAGGAACACAAGTCTGCCAGAAGCTAAGGCTTGGGTTTTCTCTTTGGGAAAACTTTGAAATGCCAAGTTACAGAAAACAGTCACAGGCTACAGCGGAACTTCTCCAACTCTACTGTACATATAAATCCTGAGGCATCTCATCAGTATATAGATTCTGATTCAGTAAGTCTGGGGTGGGACCTGGGATTCTACATTTTTAGTGAGCCCCCAGCAAATTCTGATGCTGCTATTCCAGAGACCAAACTTAGAAGTAGCAAGATATTTAACATCACAATATCAAATTATACCTTAAACCAAAATATCCTACTCCAATTCTGTATTTTTCTGATAGTTTCCATTCTCTTCTCTGATCTTTTTGTCACTTATCTCTATTCCTGAAGAAGTTAGAACAAACCAACTGATACATAGTTTTTTTTCTAGCATCCTTTAGCTAACTGCAATGAAATGTTAGATCAAGTATTACTTTTCCTTAGTTGGTAACAAAGAAATGTGATTTGTGGAATCTGAATGCTAAAAGAGAATTTAGTCTCCCCTCCTTTATTTCCTTCCTCTGATATCGCTATTTCTCAGCCTCCCTCTTTTTTTGGGGGGTGGGGGGCGGGCAGTGATCACACTGGTAATAATCTCTGGCACTTTTACAAAAATATTTTAAACTCTGCATTATCACTTTACCCCAATATTTTCTCTCCTTTTATGAAATTGAGCTCTATGGCTCATTTTAATTCCCTTAGCTTTTTAGTTAGATAGCATGACGCTGTTCAGACAGAGTCAAAGCTGGAGACAGCAACATAATATTGTGATACCTGAGTTAGACTGCCTGAGTTAATAGCCTAGGGTGACTAGCAGTTTTAACTGGGTTGGTTAGATGGTTAAACTTTAGGAGCTTCAGTTTCTCCTTCTGTAACGTAGGATAATAATGGTAAACAGATTTGGGTTATTTGTGAAAAATAAATTTTAAAAAACTTAATTCACATAAAGGATTTAGAGTAGTGCTTTGAATGGTGTCGGCTATATCATAATTAAAGATTGTGTTTTCCCCGTGGGGCTATGGGGTTATCTATCTGGACACCTGATGGTGGTGGCCTGTAGTCCACAGTTTTCCTTACATGCTATGACAGCACCGTGAGCCAGCTCTGTCTTAGGCACTCCCTGGAAGCTGTGGCTTATTGGTGTTTTCAGTACCCACACTGGATCATTTCTTAACCCCTTCCTCCTGTGTCCATACATTTCTTTTTCAGTAATAATCCTGTAATAATCAGTAATAATTATGCCTTTCTTGATTTGCTCTTTAGTTTTAAAACAAATACCAATTTTAAAGAGAAGAAAACTGTAATTTTAATGATGTTACTGAGTCTTGTAAAAATATTTTATGTACTTAAAATTTGTGTCTAAAAAGCCAAAAATATTACAGCATGAAGTTCACACTCTTTTTTACTGTTTAAAATTTTAAACACAAGTAAAAACCCTAAGTGGTCCCATAGAATGACAGAAGCAAAGCAATTTTGGTTATTTTTTTCTATACAATCGCTGTGTTATCATTCTTGATTTTGAATCTGTGATTTGAAGAAACATGTGGTACCCCAGAGACTAGGGCCATGAACTACCCTAAGTATGTACCTGAGTCCTTAAGAGTCAAGGACTTTCTACCTGGATGTTTCCCATAACAATTTTCACATCAGATTAAACGTTTGTTAGGGAATGGGTAATAAAAATGTGCAAACTTGAAACTATTTATATATTTAAAAGCTCACTGATGACTACAGCAATTATTTAGAATGTGAACTTAGGAAAGGTTTTTACAGGGAAGAGTATTTGAGCACCAGTATGATTTAGAATTATGATACATGGCAAGAATGACACCAAACTGCATTTCAGTTGACTCTATTATTTTTTTCAGATTCTCTACAGACAGTGAAGCGTAATATTTCCCAGACTAGCACTTCCCACAGCCCTGCACATGGGACCCCACTGCCTGGTAGAAATGAAGGTCAGTGTTCAAAAGTATTTGAAGAATCCTGCTAATCCCTGTTTTATCCATAAATGTCATCTGTCATGAAGAAACTTTTAATAGAAACATTTTTCATAACTTCTGAGAGGTCTCGTGATGGTCTTTGCCATAAAGTGCTCTTGTTGAGCTCTTGATACCTATAAGCTGATGCCCTGGGTTTGTCCCAAATGATGCCTCCCACCCAATCATCATCAGGACACACGCCTATGCCCCATCTTCTTATATGTTTCATCAAAACCATGAATTTTGAACTAGAGTCAATATCAATGTATAACGTATTGTATTAGGGCTCTTCAGACAAACAGAACCAATAGGATGTCTCTGTGTGTGTGTGTGTGTGTGTGTGTGTGTGTGTGTCTACAGGCATGCAACACACAATGACATTTCAGTCTACAAAGGATTGCAAATATGATGGTGATCCCATAAGATTATACCATATTTTTACTGTACCTTTTCTACATTTAGATATGTTTAAATACAGACATACTTATCATTATGTTACAGGCTACAGCATGTAGCCTAGGTGTGTAGTAGTCTATACTGTCTAGGTTTGTGTAATTATACTCTGTGATGTTAGCACAGTGATGAAATCACTTAATGCATTTCTCAGAACGTATCTCCATTTTTAAGCAATGCATGACTGGATATGTAAATAAAATGGAAATTGATTCACACAATTGTGGAGGGCAAGAAGTCCCATGATCTGCCATCTACAAGCTAAAGAACCGGGAAAGCTGGCAGTGTAATTCAGTCCAAGTCCAAAGAACTGAGAACCAGGGAAGCTGAAGGTGTCAATCCTGGTTTTAAGTCTGAAGGCCCACGAACCAGGAGCACTAAAGTCCAAGGGCAGGAGAAGATGATATCCTAGCTCAAGAAGAAAAGAAGCAAATTTTCCCTTCCTCTACCTTTTTGTTTTATTCAGGCCTTCAACAGATTGAGTGAAGCCTGCCCTTATTGGTGAGAGCCATCTGCTTTACTAAGTTCAATTCGAATGCTGATGTCCTCCCAAAATGCTCTGATAGACACCCAGAATAATGTTTTACCAGCTACCTGGTCATTTTTTAGCCTAGCCAAGTTGATACATAAATTTAATTATTGCACGTATAGTCTTACCAATTGGTGACCTTTTCATTCTTTATGGTATTAACAGTGAAGATTTGTAGATGGTCTGTCTACTTGGTTTTACAGGTTTTGATCAGCACTCAGAAGTTCAAGTTTGATCAACCTAGTTCGGCCGGAACTGAAAGAGCTGAGGCAGTGAGTTCTTTGGGTCTTATTTCTAGAAACTAGAAAATGAGAGAGATAGTGATGAGGTTTCTGAGTGGCCTTACTAACAAGTTTACCTCCAAATTATGAGATTTCAGAAGGAAAACCAAGAGCCATCTCTGCATACATGAGAGCAGGCAAAGGAAATGTCCCAAGGGGAAGAAAGAGGACACACTTGGGCAATGATTATGGGGTAAAGGAAGCACAGGAGACAGTGTAGGAAATGTACAGGTGAAAGAGATCAGGAGAAAGACAGTAAATATGGGGAGCAGCAGGAATCATTACAATAATAATGCCAGTTTGGAAATGAGAACCAGTTTATAAAGTATACCAATAAGGCCAACGAAGAGCCAAGGATGGAAAGCCACCATATTAGGGGAAAGTGGAGTCATAGCAGGTGTTTTATGAGGCAGTTCAGAACATAATGGCCAACCAAGACAGCAGGACAAGTGAGAGGTGGAGAAATGACCCCGACAAGACTTCTCGGGCTCCTGAACCTGGTCCATACCTTATGTCAGAAGGAGTGGTGACCAAAGGAAACTCTCTTTGTTTTAATTATGGAAGCAGGAATATACCTGATTTTGTATTTAACTGCATATGTTTAAGATCTGAATATTTATATATTCAAAAGCATAATGTGTTAGGGTTAATCATTAGAAATTGCCAACATGCACTCATTTTACCTATAAAACCTGTAATTTTGTGTGGTTCAAATTAGTAGATATAATGATATTCTCAAGCTAACTCTTTTTTTTTTTTCTTTTTTTGTCTTGAAGCCCATGTGGAAGATCCAAAGAGAGCTTTGGCTGTGACTAAGCTTCCTGCATTCTCCTGGAGTTTGTGGTTTACGAATGTGGCACCATCTGCGGAACTGACAACCCCTGATGTGTTCACCCTGCTCCTCTTCCAGGTGAGAGAAGAAGAAGGGGAGAAAGAAAGAGAAGTTCCAGAATTTCACAGTTTGAGGGAATTGGGAGTAACTTCTGTCTCTGTTTGTTTCTGTTTCTTGGTTTGCTTTTTACTTTGAACTCATTTGACTTCAGGTTCCAGATTTGTTTTTCTCTTTGCAAACTAGACTTTGACATTATTAGCAGGCCCATCTGCTTGCTTTCCTTAAATATAAAGTAAATTGGTTTTTGTTTTAAATTTCAGGTGCTTTTAAATTTGACTCTGATATTCATCTCCTAAGGCAGTTTGGGCATGGTAGTGCTGCCAAGAACAGCAAAACCTTGCTTTATAGAATCTTTTTGGTCAAATGAATGTACATTTTTACTGTTAAAAAATTATCAGTTTTTGGCCAGACACAGTGGCTCATGCCTATAATCCCAGCACTTTGGGAGGCAAAGGAGGGTAGATCACGAGGTCAGGAGTTTGAGATCAGCCTGACTAATACAGTGAAACCCCGTCTCTACTAAAAATACAAAAATTACCTGGGTATGGTGGTGTGCACCTGTAATCCCATCTACTCAGGAGGCTGAGGAAAGAGAATCGCTTGAACCAGGGAGGCAGAGGTTGCAGTGAGCCAAGATCAGGACACTGCACTCCAGCCTGGGCAACAGAGCAAGACTCTGTCTCAAAAAAAAAAAAAAAAAAATATATATATATATATATATATATATATAAGTTTTAATAGCTTTGATTTGCCTGTCTATAATTTATGTTTTCTTCCTTTATGCCTTCATTCTTTCCTATACCCTGGGCCCACATTTATGCTCTAATCAAGTTTCTTTTCATATCTTTCCCCCTCATGACACACACAAGAAGCCTAATACAAAACACTATCTGTTTCTTTCTCAAAGGAAAAGAAAACGATGCCCATGGAATCATACAGATTCCTGAGGATGCCCATGGAATCATACAGATTCCTGAGGGCCCCTTGCATAAATGATTGTGGTACATTCGGTGATGACCATTCTCTGGTCAATCAATCATTACTGAGTGCTTTGTCTGTGTGGAATACTCTTTATACAATATCTTGAGTAATGATGGGAACAAATTTCATGAAAGACATTAAAATCCTCACGGACACAGACTTTCTTGACAATTATGCTCTTGAGATCCTTTTATAATGGACACATATTTTGGATGGAAAAAAGCTGGAAATTTGCACAAAGGTTTGATCCAATAGCTTTCTAAAGATGAATCTAACTGTTGTGAAGTCTGGCATCTACTTTGTACCCCCAGCAGCGCCAGCCTTTGTAAGGTATGCAGGTAACAAACAGATTATTGTACTGGGAGTGGTGAAAGTCTTGCCTTAACAAATACTCTCTTTTCTCTGCCTGTTGTACTATAAAAATGTTTTCTTCTCTGGGATTACTTTAAAGACACCTTTATTCCAGGTAGTATTTTATCACCTGGGAGATAGATACTCTTATCTAACCACACATTAGAAAGAGCAGCTGATCTTCAGCATGGGTGACAGAGAAACACCCTATCTCTAGAACAGTATGCATATGAAAGATTAGCAAGTCATGGTGGTGTGGTGTGTACCTGTAGTCCCAGCTACTCAGGAGGCTGGGTGAGAGGCGCTCAGGAGTTTGAGGCTTCAGCAAGCTACAACCGTGCCACTGCACCGCAGTCTGGGTGACAGAAAGAGATCCTGTCTCTAAAGGAAAAAAAAAGAAGAAGAAGGAGAAGAAAGAGAAAGATCTTCACATGGCAGGAAACAAGGTCATGAGCAATGGCCACACAGGACTGTTTTATTTTGACATAATGGAAGTGGCTTGGGAAAATGTGAAAAGAAAGGTCACCCTGCGTAGCTCGAGGGAAGAAAAAGAATGTTGTGTATTTCAACAGACAGCATTATGGTAAAGAAGAAGCAGATGCCATGGAGGGGAACTGAAGAAATGTCAGCGATAAATTCACCATTACTGCAAATTAGCATTTGCCCAACCTGACCAGGGAAGTTCCAGTGAACAGTGGAAGAGCTTGATGCAGAGCCTGGGAAACTTTGAGCAGCCTTCTAGATGGGACAGATGAACAGAGGTGATCAGTTCATCCAGTTTTGCCTGGGACTGTCCTATTTCTTTTTTTTTCCCCCTGAGAACACTAATTTAGTTTTTATTTTATTTTTAAATTTATTATCTTTTTTAAGTGGACAAGTAAAAATGGTACATATTTGTGGTGTGCATAGTGCTGTGTTGATACGTATAATGTAGAGTGATGAGATCAGGAAAACTACCATATCCATCATCTCATACGTTATTTTCTTGTGTTGGGAACATTCAATATCCTCTTTCTAGCTATTTGAGACTAATTCATGTATTATTATTAACTACAGTCATCCTATAGTGCTACGGGATGCTAGAATTTATTCCCCTAACTGTACTTATGTTTTTGTATCTGTTAACAAATCTTTCCCTTTCCCTTCCTTCTTCCTAACTTCTCCAGCTTCTAATATCCTCTGTTTTACTTCTTCTATGAAATCAACTTTTTTTAGCTTCCACATATGAGTGAGAATATGTGGTGTTTAACTTGCTGTTCCTGGCTAAATTCACTTAATATTAATGTCCTCCAGTCCCATCTATGTTGCCATGAATGACCAGATTTGATTTTATTTTTTAAGAGAGGCCTATTTATTTTTATTTTTTTAGAGACCAAGTCTTATGATGTTGCCCAGGCTGGTCTCAAACTTCTGGCCTCAAAGGATCCTTCCACCTCAGCCTCCCAAACAGCTGAGATGACAGGCACAAGCCACTTCCTTGGCCAATTCTTTTTTATAGCTGAATAGTATTTCGTGGTGTACATATTCCACATTTTCCTTATCTGTTCATCCAGTCACCTAGGTTGAGTCCATATCTTGGCTATTGAGAACAGTGCTGCAGTAAACATGGGAGTGCAGATTCTCTTTTACATACTGGTTTCCTTTCCTTTGGTAAATTCCCAGTGGTTGGATTGCTGAATCATGTGGTAGTTCTATTTGTTTTCCATATGGCTGTATTATTTCTTGGTTTTGACACCAAATATTCCACATTCCAGAAATCTCCTCAATCCTAGGCTCACTGCAGTGGTTGATCACTGTAGCTCATATCCGCCAGATTCTGAGAATACCATCATCTTCTCACAGATAACTTTACTGGAAAATCTGCATGAGGTTATTATTATGGGCTAGGTTATATAGCAGGTACATTAAAGTTCTTTGGAAAAATAGAACCGAAAGGAAAGATATAGATGTATAAGCACAGATATCATGGGAATTGACTTACATGATTATGGAGGCAGAAGGTTTCATGATTTCCTGACCCTAAGCTGTAGAACAAGGGAAGCTGTTGGTGTATTTTATCCTGAGTCTTAAGGCCTGAGAACCTAGGAAGTTGATGTAACTTACAATCTGGGGCCAAAGGCCTGAAACCAGAGATGGCCACTGATGTCAGTCCTAGAGTCCGAAGGCCCCAAGAATCCACACCTCTCATTTCTGAGGGTGGGAAAGGATGGATGTCCCAGCTTAGGAAGAGAAGGGAATTCACCCTTCTTCTGCCTTTTTGGTTCTATCCAGGCACTCAACAGATTGGACAATGTGTCCCCACATTGGTGAGGACTATGCTTTACTCAGTCTACTGATTAAAGTGTTGGTCTCTTCACAGAACACCCTCACAGACACATGCAGATATAGTGCTTTACAAGTTACCTGGGTGTCCCATAGATCGGTCAAGTTGACACATAAAGTTAACCATCACAGTGTGGTTCAAACTCATGTCTTTTATTTCTTCCTGCATTTTCCTGAGTGTCTGGACCATCCTCATAAGAGGTTACACTGTTCTTTGTCTTTTAGTAGCATCAGTCTTTCCTCCCTGGCCCTCCCCTCTCGTCATTGTTTTCATTTTTAATTTTAGAAACTGATTCATTCTAGGAACATCACTTCCTAAAGTTGTTGTTTGGTGCTATGTGAGAAGATTCTCTGAGGGCTGTAATAGAGTTGCAAAGCTGAGAGATTTCAGAGGTGTTATTCTCACCAGAATTCAGCAGTGGCTATCTATTTCCACATAGAGATAAGTGCAAAGTGTGGTAGTGACTTCAGGAATGTCGGGCCGTTGGTCCTGTAAGATAAACTTACTGATTTTTTCATGGGAGGTCTGGCATATTCCAATAGGCACCACACATATAAAATGCATGTGTGCCCTGGTCCGGACCAGTCTTTGTTTGGTCTATAGTTTATGAAAATATATTAAACCATGGTTATGCTATACCTCCTGTATAACGGTGATGATCTGTGGCAATACCACAAAATCATTTATCAAATTTATAAATATTTATATAATTCATAAATTATGATGTTATAAAATCCATAAATATTTGAGAGTATTGTCAAAAAGCTTTAGAACCAGATTAAATAATTCACTAAGGAAGCCATCTAAGTGAGGCAGGAAGCAGTGACTCACACCTGTAATACCAGCACTTTGGGAGGCCGAGGTGGGAGGATCACTTAAGGGCAGGAGGCCAGAGGTTTGAGGCTAGCCTGGGTAACATAGCAAGATCCTGTCTCAAAAAAAAAAAAAAAAAAAAAAGAAGAAGAAGAAAAGAAAAGTCATCTAGGTAAAATCAAGCACATTGTATTGACCAAAAGTATTTGTATGAAAGTTTCATCCCATAATAATTCTTTGTTACAGAATAATCAAGTATTAATGTTCTTAGCAAGGAAAACAATGAGAATGTGTAAAAATTAGAATGTTTTTCATAGGTCAACTTTTTATTACCCTTATTAACAGTGGAGAGAAGATGCATTGTTTTGTTTTGTTATAAGCTGAATCATAGTCAAAACAAAAGTTGTCAAAATGTGGTACAAAACACAGCTAAAAATGCATCCAGTGTTTAGAAACACATTTGCTACTGAATGTAGATAATCTAAACATTAAAAATTAATATGAATATATTAGATTAGAAACATCTAATGCCAGAAGGTTTTGACATATC